CTTTGCTTTTGTTTCCATTACTCTAGGAGACGGATTCAAAAAACTATTCCTGCAATTTATGTCAAAGAGTGTTCTGCCTATGTTTTCCTCTAGGAGTTTTTTGGGGTTTTTTTTGTTTTGTTTGCGGTACGCGGGCCTCTCACTGCTGTGGCCTCTCCCGTTGCGGAGCACAGGCTCCGGACACGCAGGCTCAGCGGCCATGGCTCACGGGCCTAGCCGCTCCACGGCATGTGGAATCCTCCCGGACCAGGGCACGAACCCGTGTCCCCTGCATCGGCAGGCGGACTCCCAACCACTGCGCCACCAGGGAAGCCCCTGTAGGAGTTTTATAGTATCCGGTCTTACATTTAGGTCTTTAATCCATTTTGAGTTTATTTTTGTATATGCTGTTAGAGAATGTTCTAATTTCATTCTTTTACACGTAACTGTCCAGTTTTCCCAGCACCACTTATTGAAGAGACTGTCCTTTCTCCACTGTATATTCTTGCCTCCTTTGTCATAGATTAATTGACCATAAGTGCATGCATTTATTTCTGGGCTTTCTGTCCTTTGCCATTGATCTATGTGCCTGTTTTTGTACCAGTACCATACTGGGTTATTTTGTGTGGGTTTTTTTTGGCTGCACCACACAGCATGCAGGATCTTAGTTTCCTGACCAGGGATCAAACCCATGCCCCCTGCAATGGAAGCACGGAGTCTTAACCTCTGGACTGCCAGGGAAGTCCTGAGTACCATACTGTTTTGATTACTATACCTTGTAGTATAGTATGAAGTCAGGAAGCATGTTTCCTCTAGCTCAATTCTTCTTTCTCCAGATTGTTTTGGCTATTTGGGATCTTCTGTGTTTCCATACAGATTTTAAAGTTGTTTGTTCCAGTTCTGTGAAAATTGCCGTTGATAATTTGATAGGGATTTCATTGTATCTGTAGATTGCCTTGGGTAGTATGGCCATTTTCACAGCAGTGATTCTTCCAATCCAAGAACACGGCATATCTTTCCATCTGTTTGTGTCATCTTCAGTTTCTTACATCAGCGTCCTGTAGTTTTCAGCGTACAAGTCTTTTGCCTCCTTAGGTTGGTTTATTCCTAGGTATTTTATTCTTTTTGATGTGATTGTAAATGGAGTTGTTTCCTTAATTTCTCTTTCTGATAGTTGTGTTAGTGTATAGAAATGCAAGAGATTTCTGTGTTATAATTTTATAACCTGCAACTTTACCAAATTCATTGATGAGCTCTAGTAGTTTTCGGGTGACATCTTTAGGATTTTCTAAATATAGTATCATGTCATCTGCAAACAGTGACAGATTTACTTCTTCCTTTCCAATTTGCATTCCTTTTATTTCTTTTTCTTCTCTGACTGCTGTGGCTAGGGCTTCCAAAACTATGTTAAATAAAAGTGGCGAAAGTGGGCATCCTTGCCTTGTTCCTGATCTTAGAGGGAATGCTTTTAGTTTTTCACCACTGAGTATAATGTTAGCTGTGGGTTTGTCATAGATGGCCTTTATTATGTTGAGATACGTTCCCTGTATGCCCACTTTCTGGAGAGTTTTGATCATAAATGGATATTGAATTTTATCAAAAGCTTTCTCTGCATCTACTGAGATGATCATATGGTTTTTATTCTAGCAGAAGTTTTTAGTGTTAATGAAGTATAGGTTACCAATTTTTTCTTTCACGGATTTTGCCTTTGATGTTGTACCTAAAAAAGCATTACCAGGGACTTCCCTGGTGACACAGTGGTTAAGAATCCACCTGCCAATGCAGGGGACACAGGTTTGATCCCTGGTCTGGGAAGATCCCACAGGTCACGGAGCAACCAAGCCTGTGTGCCACAACTGCTGAGCCTGCACTCTAGAGCCTGTGAGCCACAACTACTGAGCCCACGCACTGCAACTGCAGAAGCCCCTGTGCTCTAGGGCCCACGTGCCACAACTACTGAGCCCATGTGCTGCAAGTGCTGAAGCCCGCGTGCCTAAAGCCCGTGCTCCATAACAAGAGAAGCCACCACGGTGAGAAGCCCGTGCACCACAACAAAGAGTAGCCCCCGCTCGCCGCAGCTAGAAAAAGACCACGCGCAGCAACGAAGATCCAATGCAGCCATAAATAAATAAATAAATAAATAAATGTCCTTCTAAAAAAATAAAAATAAAAAATATATATCTCTTCTGTTCCTTTTCCTCCTTCTTCTCCCGGTATTCCCATTATGTATATGTTACACCTTTTGCTGTTGTCCCACAGTACTTGGAATGTCCTGTTTTTCTTAGTCTTTGTTCTCTTTGCCTTTTGGTTTTTCAGGATTCTATCGAACTATCCTCAGGTACAGAGAGTCTTCCCTCGGCAGTCCAGTCTACTAATAAGCCCATCAAAGGTATTCTTCATTTCTATTACAGTGTTGTTTATCTCTAGCATTTCTTTTTGATTGTCGTATGATCAGGCCACCCAAGATGGCTGTTCCCTTGCTCTCTGTACATCCCTGTTCAAGCAGTCCCTGCCTTACCTACACCCTACTCACATGACTGACCTTCCCTCTTAATCACAGAGCCTAATCAGTAAATGTCTGCTACTCGCCCCAGGTTCCAGCAAGTGATTGTTCTAACCTTTAGATCACAATGTCTCCACTATGATAGTTTCACCGTCATACTAGTGTTGCGGCCGTAGAGGGGCAGTGAGGGGCGTGCTGAGGTCAATTCCCTCTACCACCAGTAACCTCGCTCTCCTCTACCCACCCACCCCCGTGGTAGTGAATACTGCTGCCTGCCACCTGCTGCACAGAGCAGGGTGTTGCTCCGGGACCTTGCTTCAGGCATGTGAGATCCCCCTATCCACTAAGCCATTGATGTCTCTGTCCTCGATCCTGGGCTCTTTCCTCAGCCTGCAGGCTGGGCAAGTACAGGGCTTGCAGGCCTGCGGGGTGCAGCCCAGTAATTGTTTCTTAGAACATCCATCTCTTTGCTTACATTGCCCATCTATTCTTGCATGCTATCTACTTTATCCCTTAAAGCCCTTAGCATATGAATCATAGTTGTTTTAAATCCCTAGTATGATAATTACAACATTCTTGCCATGTCTGGTTCTGATTATTTGCTCTATCTCTTCAAATTGTGTTTTTTGCCTTTCGTTATGCAAGCAGATAGGGTAGGGAGTCCCCAGAGAAAGAGAACCAGGCATGGCTTTCTTGACAGAAGAGAAGCCATTTGGGGCCTAAGCCATTCTGTAATCTAAGCCTGGCCACAGTGCTTGCCCTTGAACAGGGCTGAGTATTTAATGATCTTAAGGGAACAAAAGAATGCAGAAACAAAGGACTGTTACCAGGCAAGAGAAGTAACAATAGCAAAGATCAGAAAAAAAAAAAAAAAAAAAGATAGCAAAGATCAGTGGGAAAAACTCCCCGTTCTGTTTCAGTAGTAAAGATTAGCCTGGGGGCTTCCCTGGTGGCGCAGTAGTTGAGAGTCCGCCTGCCGATGCAGGGGACACGGGTTCGTGCCCCGGTCTGGGAAGACCCCACATGCCACGGAGCAGCTGGACCCGTGAGCCATGGCCGCTGAGCCTGCGCGTCCGGAGCCTGTGCTCCGCAATGGGAGAGGCCACAACAGTGAGAGGCCCGCGTAACGCACACAAAAAATAGAAAGATTAGCCTGAAGAGCGCAACCACCACATCAGCTGGAAACTGAGGGGTGATGTTATTGACCTTTTCTGACCCTCAACTAAAGCTTGGACTCTGTCAGACAGCCCAAGCCCCTCCATGAACATGCATGGGCCCTTAGCTTAACACTTCCCCAGTTTTGCTGTTTGGGGTGACACTGCTTTGAGAAAGATCCCCAGTGTTCTCCTTACTGTGGCTGCAAGTGAGAAATCCTTCTTCCTCCCTATCTTTGGCCTGGTTGTCTTTTGGCTCGACACCCACCAAAAGGGGAGCCCCGTTTTTGGGTAACAGTTTTTTCTTGATAGCCAGACACAACGTACCAGTAAAAGAAAGTGCTGTAAATAGGCCTTTAGTAATGTGGTGGTGAGGTGTGAGGGGAGGGAAGGCATTCTGTAGTCCTCTGTAGGTCTGTCCTTCAGTCAGCCTATGCCTCTGTACACAAGTGTTTCTCCCCACTTGTGCGGAGAGGATGGATGGAAGGGGGCTGGAGTTGGGTAATTTCTCTTCTCCCACTTGGAAGGCTAGAGTTGGGTCTCTCGCTTCCTGTCAGTTAGGCTCTGACAATACCCCAGCAGCTTAGGCTCTGGCGAACTAGCTTCCCCTCAGGGCAGACTTCGTTAAGAAGGACAGAATGCTCTGGAGTATTTCAAAATGGTTTCTTTTCTCACACCTGTGCGGGAAGGCTGAGGGGATTTTTCTCACACATCTATTACGGGAGCTCCTGGAGGTACATTTCACAGCATTGCGCAGGCACCCTGTGACTGGGTCCCCTGGAGTTTTTAACGCTCAGAGCCAGCTGCACTGAACCTCCAGCAGTTATCGATTACAGTTCAGGTTTTTGAACCACAGCCCTGGTTTCTGTGTCTTCCTACATTCACCCGTCTTTCCAGTCCGAGGGTAGCAGTTTGCCTGTGTTCTCCCCTGTCTTACAGATCCAAGAAGAATCGTTGGTTTTTCACTCTGTTCAGTTTTTACTTGTTGTTAGGATGGAATGGTGACTTCCAGGCTCCTTATATGTGGAACCAGAAGCGGGAAGGGCTCTCCTTCCGCCCTTCACATTACAAGTCCACCAGGTGAATTCTCCACCCGTCTTAGCTAGAGAGACTTAGGTGAGTCAGGAACTTTACCGAGATACCACATCCTCCAGGTCATCCCAAAGAGCCACTAAAGCCAGAAGCATCACTCCCAACCCTGCTCCACAGAAAAGGCTGGGAGACAGACAGTTGAGGGGGGGCCATGTGCAAAGAAGAGACACATTTCAAGTTTTCTGAAATGACTTGAGACTCAAGACTCTACAGCATCGTTCAAGCCTTGCCCTGTGGGACAGCATCTGGTTCCCAATGTGATTAGGGGAGAAATGCATAACTGAGTGCAATAGGGAACCCCAGTCTCCCTGTCTTCCATTCTAAGAGCTTATGCACATTATGGCTGCTGAATTAGACTTAAAATAATTATGTTAGTGACACCAAGCTCTAGGTTCCTTTCTTCTTCTGATGCAAAATCTCCCGCCTGTGAGGGGAACTCTTTTACAAACTATTTGGAATCAGAATACAGCTCTGTAACTGCACGAAGTGTCCACAGTTAGGAAGCTTCTTGTCGCAGTTACCTAGCTGACTACAAAAAACTCAGGCCTGGAGGAGTCCACTGCCGCTCCAGCCTACTCACTGCATCAGCCGTTACCCTCTCGCGGACCCTGTTCTGAGAGGATCTCACCCTAGAAAAGACCAAATACCCACCCTTGATCTCCATAGCCTGATTTATTTGAGGCCCCAGTATGGGGGTGATTACAGTTTGCAGAGCTTTGTACCATAACAGCCATTAGGGTAACCTTGAATTTCTCTCGGCCATTCTTCCTAAGAACAATTGAAAACATCTTCACAGTAAGAATGTCATCAGGTTTGCCTTCTCACCAACCCCCGAAAGAGGAAATGGGGCAAACCCCTTCCCTTTGCATTAAAAGGAAACATGAGGCCTGGAGACCTCAAGGACTTATTCAGGGTTCCACCACCCAGCAGGGCAAAGAGCCATTGAGGGTCCCCACCTTCTGTTTCCAAAATGTTGGAGGACAAAGGTGTGACTGTTTCTCTAATTTGTATCTTTTCTCTCTTTTTCATATGGGCATTTCTGGATTGGGGAGTCCCTCCCCGTCTCCTCCATTCCCTCCCCCTCCAGCGCAGAGCAAATAGCATCTCAGTCCGACAAGAGCCCTTACTGCCCTCCTGCCCCTTTCTAGCTCGAAGCTCTATTGGGTAGGAGACACCACGTAGGCTGTGGTGATGTACTTCTTGCCATTTCCGTAGGTTGACTTGTCCCAGGCATAGGTCTGGATGGCCAAGGGATGTCCACCCAGGCTTAACTGGCACCTGTGGGGAAAGATCAGCAAATCACAGGGACCTGCTTCACTCCACCTCCGCCCCCAAGCTGGAAGGATGAAGTTCAGCCCACGCGGAAGGGCTCCACCCTGTCTTAGCCTCTAAGGGAGCTGCCACAGCTTGCTTCAGCCTCTGCCTCTGGCTCCCCACGTGCAGAGGGCCCTCTCAAACTCTGTCTTCTTTTCTGTCTTCTTAGAGAATACTGCTTCTCATCTGTCCTACAGGAATATTCTCAAATCCAGCTCTAGAGCTGCAACCCCCAGAAATGAAATGTCCGCTTAGGGTTTCGGAAGTGGTTGGGCCCAGAGTCCTCAAATGTTAGAGAAGATGAGGGCCAGTGGTTTCTAACTGTACTCTCTGGGGCTCCAGCGTTCCCCCAAACAGCCTCAGGGGCCAAAAAGAGAGGCTTGCAGCCCCAGGGCGACTCCATTTCTAACTGTTTTGTATATTAAGCTCCTGCATACGATTGCACTTGGAGTGCAGTTGGATGTGGTTCTGCTGCTGGGATGAAGGTTGGCAGCTACACGACTGATCTGATCAACAGCTTCACGTTCCAAGACAGAAAACCGAGGCCCAGAACGGTGATTTGTCCAAGCCCTCCTGAGCCACCAGGACTCACACTTTGCCTGGCCTGGCGATGAAGCACAGGGAGTAAAGGGCAAACTCAAACTCGGGGCTGCTGCCAATGAAAGTTGAACCCATTTCCTTGTAGTAGCCGTCCCAGCTGAACTGCAAGGCCAGCACCCTGGGGTAAGAATCCCCCTGCGGAGAGAAGGGCGGTAAAGGGGGTCTGCTGAGTGCCACAGTGCGGAGTCGCACAGAGGGTTGGCTAGGATTTGTCGAGGGCCCGTGGGGGTCTGTGTGAGCTTTCTGGGGAGACTGGATTCTTTAAATCGACAGAGGATGCAGTCTGCCCTGCTAGGGTATCTGAGTCCTGCGCACACCCTCTCTCTGGAGCCGCCAGCTCGCATCTCCCAGAAAGGCCACAGTCAGCATCCATGTGCCCGGTGCCAGGGGAGCAGGGGCATAACTGTGGCCCTCACGTGCGGAGGAGAAGGACAGCTTTTTGCCCCCAAATTATTTCCAGGCTCAGGGCAGCAAAGGGTTCTTTTTTTTATAAAAATATGAGAAGTTTAACTCAGACTAGCCAGACTGAAACTTCAGCTGATACCACATTCTAAGGAAATTCAGGTCTTTGGTTTTCCCCTCTAAGGATTCTCCCCTGCCCACACTCTCCCATCCAGAGAGGACGCCCTCTGCCCCCTGCCCCCTGCAGCTCGGGAGCCTTCACTGTTTGGAAGCGTCCTGGCTGGCTAAACCCTCTTTCCAGCAAATAGGGAAGTCCTATTCACGATCCCCGTTAGGCTGCCAAGAGGGTCAGGGTGGGAGACAAGTCTGCCTGTTTGGAATTCAGAATGAGGACAGGACGTCTGGGTACTGACGGCGCTTTTCCAGCCCACGGGGTCAGCACTCAGTACTCACAGGCCCGTCACAGATGTGACTGTAATAGTCAACCAGGCCCTCCTTCTCCTGCATGTAGAAGTGGATCCAGTTATGGAAGCCAGTGACCTTGCCTTTTTTGACTTCACCTGTAATAAACAGATCAAGGTGGGTGATCTGGGCCTCCCCTCCGACCTCTTTCCCCACTCCCGTGCCAAGGCTGTACGCCTTCTCCAGTCTCTTATTCCTAGAATGTCCACCCCAACTTCCCGGAGTCCCTCACGCCCCTAACTCTCACCTCAGAAAGCTACACACACACACACACACACACACACACACACACACACACACACACACACACACAACTCCCATTTCAGCTGACGCCCTTGGGAGAGTTCCTTCTCCCCGCTGACCCTGGGCCAATCTGAGATACTCCTCTAGCCATTTCCCTAGGAGCAAGCCAGACTTGGTGGGAGCCTTACGCTGGGGCAATGGGGCCTCCTTAGGAAACAGCTGACCAAGCCCTGGAAGCAGAGGACCATTGAGAGGTAGACAGCCAGGGCCTCAAACACGTCTCTCTTCTTATGTGTGCACCTTGGGAGCCCCGGTGTCTGGGCTTCTTTCTCCTTCTGATACTCCAGAAGAAACTGGCCCTCAAACATGGCCTCTCAGTCCCCTCCCTCTTGGCCAGGGAGCAGACGTGCCCTGTCCTGCGAGCTGGCTCGACTACTGATTCATCGGTGCTGATGCTGCCCTGTGCCCGAGGGAAGCATCTCTCTTCATCCCTCCAACTCTTTCTTCCCAAGCAGAGTAATCCCACCTGAGAAGACATGTTCAAAGCCACCTGTGTGCCCCTCTTCTTTGCCTCTTGAATACAGCCCAAACCACATGTTTTTCAAGTCGTTGACGAACTCCTGTTTTGTGCTGTAGCGGCCTGGGGAGAGGAACACAGAGGACTGAGGAGAGGGGAAGGCAGGGCCTTCCTGGAAAGCAAGGAAGGGCCACCTGCTCCAGCGTGACAAGAGCCGGGTGGGTTCAGCCAACATAGTCAGTTGTTCGCTCAGCAGTTATCTATGCCATAGATTCTATGGGGCGCCTGTTTTGTGCCAGGCCCAGATCTAAAGGCTGAGGATTCATCAGGGAATCACAAGGACAAGATTCCTGTCTTTATAGTTTATATTCCAGTGGAGGAGACAGATAATAAACAAACAATAAACCGTATGATTTCAGATAAGTGCTATGAAGAAAATAAAGCAGATTATCCCATGATGCCTGGAGGTGGGGTTCGGGTGGGAGCTTTTCTAGAAAGGCCTCTCTGAGAAGGTAGCACTGATCAGAGACCTGAAGGGTAAGGAGTCGGCCATGCAAAGACCTGGGGGAAAGAGCCTTCCACGTAGAAGGAACAGCAAGTGCAAAGGCTCCAGGACACCTTGGTGTTTAGAGAGCTGAGGGCCCATGTAGCTGGAGCACAGCCAGCAGGAGGGGAGAGTGGTAGGAGAGGAGGTCTGAGAGGCAGGCAGCTGCCAGCCCATGCAAAGAAGGTTGGAGCTCAGTCAAACCTTAATAATAAGAAAAATAGTTTAGATTCACTGAGTTTGTTCTGTGTACCCTGGCACTGTTTGAGTGCTTTCAATCCTCACGTTGATTCTTCATGTCAGGTTGTTACCAGGCGTTCCTGGTGGAGGAAATGGAGGTGGGGAGTGGGGAGGTAAAGAGAAGAATCAAATATAACCCCTGGGCTTTGGGCCTGAGCAACTGGATGAAGTATGGGGTCGTTTATGAGATGGGGAAGATGAGGAAGGAGCAGGTCTGGAGGAAGAGGCGGGAACCGTGAGTTCTCTTTACACTAAGTTCTGAGTAGATGCCAGTTAGACAGGCAGGGAAATGTCAGGGCTGGGGATCTGAATTAGGGAGCTATCAACTATCAACGGTTCACTGCCCAGAATTGTGTGTAGAGGACACTAAAGAGATACCAGGCATATTCCCTCCTTTCAAGGACTTAAAACACAGTTGGGTGGTCCAGTGGTTAAGAATCCGTCTTCCAGTGCAGGGGATGGGGGTTCGATCCCCGGCCAGGGAACTAAGATCCCACATGCCGAGGGGCAACTACTGAGCCTGCGTGCCACAGCTAGAGAGCCCACGCACCGCAACGACTGAGCCCACACGCCACAACTAGAGAGAAGCCCGCGCACCTCAACGAAGAGCCCGCGTGCCGCAACTAAGACCCCACGCAGCCAAAAATAAAAATAAAATACAACAAATAAACATTTTTTTAAAACCACACAGTTGGAAAACAGGACTAAGAACACACGATATAACAGAGAACGCCTTCACAATCTGAATGGCTATAGCTTACCGGGTGCCAGGCTTTCCACTGAGTGTTTTATATGCATGAATCCCCCAAGACCGCATTGCACAGACAAGGCTCAGCTGGGGCCTGAGGGTCAAACGGCCCAGGATCACTTGCGTCATTAGCAAGTGAAACCAAGTCTCTCTGGCCCAAGGCTATTTTAGGACACACTCCAAACCCTTGACCTCTGAAGAGACTCTGAAAGCCAGCTGTGAGCTGCAGCTTCATAAATGAGGTGGAATGTGAGCTAGAACTTCAAGGATAAGTGGGATTTGGACAGGGAGAGAGGCAAAGACCGGGTGGGTCGTGGAACAGCCTGGACTAGGGCTCAGTCTCGACCTCCAAGATCCTCTCCTTTGTTTACTACAAGGAGAACACCAGGGGGCAGTGCAGGATCGCGCCCTCTTCACAGGGCTTGCTTGTGTGTCACCGGCTTTACCTAAAAACAGCGTTACTAACTCTTAACGGGGCCACCGGAGGGTGGAATGCAACGGCTCCGAGCAGAGGCGATCCCACGGCCAGCAAGGGATGACCAGGACGGAGCCACCCCCAGGCAAGGCCCAGCTGCCCGGAGTTCAGGAAAGGAATCTGGAGGACACTAACAAACACACCGCGTGCCAAGAAGTCCTGCGGCCCAAACCTTTTTTGGTCTGATTCACATGTATCTGTATCTGGAGTCTCTCCAACCAGAACCCTTCCCAGTATAACGTCCCCCTCTGAACCTTTGTTGATTTTCTGTTGCTGTGGCCCCAGCAAAAATGTGGAATGGGCCGGCCTCCTTCCTGGACGTAGTGCCAGGTGAGGGAGCAGGAGCAGGGACCCTACGTGCCTGCAAAGTGGTGCTGAGTCCGGGATCAACTCAGGTGGCAGAGGAATGCCCTGGGGGCTGACGGGGAGCTGGGTGACTCACGGCCTGCGGAGAACCCTGAGGCTGAAGCAGCAAGTGGGGGGCAAACCAGGCTGCTAAGATTAGGTCAAAAGATGGGTTGACTTTGAAGCCGGACAGAGGATTCTTCAGCTCCTGCTTGGGTCTGTGGTCTCTTCTAGGCCCCTCTCTGTCCCCTCCCAGAGGTACACTGGCCTCCACCTAGTCCCCACCTGCTCTCTTAACCTGCCCGCCGTGGAGCCCCCAGGGGTGCCTGGCCCGCTGTGGGCACACCGCGACCTCAGCAGGGCCTCCCTCTCTCTCGGGACCTGGGGGAGGCCTCACGGCCTCACTCACTCTGCTGGTGGAGGAAGCCGTAGAGTTCCTTCATGACGGCCGTCTTCATAACCTCGCTGAGGAATGTGTCCTGCTCAGCCAGCTGCTGGGCTGTGAAGTGCTCCCCGCGGCCCGCGGCCCGCTGGTAGTTGTCGAGGAGGTTGATGAAGGCGGCGTAGGTCGGTTTGGAGAAGAGCTTCTCATTGACATACGTGAAGAGCCTGGGGCAGGTAGAGGGAGGCCCAGTGAGAGGCCTGCACGCAGAGCAGAAACCCCTCCAGAACTTCCAGGTGCAGGGGCAGGCATGAGAGGGTTGGGTTCAGAGGCAGAGTGGGGACTTCACATACTCTTGGGGACAATGCATGAGGTCCCTCTTTTCTTCCACTTCATCTCTTGGAAGGTCAGTTCTATTCTCAGCCCAGCCAATCCCAGAAACCCTCCCAAATGGATCCCCACAGGTCCTCAAATGGCTTTATCTGTCTCTGGAGACCTATTTTTTCCCTCTCCCTTTGGTCCTGCCTGCCTTGAGGAGAAAAGAGCTGAGGCACCAAAGCGAGCAAAGCTGGGGGAGAGACTGCAGGAAGAGGCTTGAAGGGAACTCACGGCTCTGGGCAGCGGTCTACTTGGTCTCTGGCCTCCGAGGGCGAGATGCACTTTTGGCTATTGAGAACAATGTCTTCCTTCTGGGCTTTGTTGGTATCTGCCCTATAGATCTTCTCAGAGATGCTCTGCGGTTCCCCCTTGGTTATGGCTTCGCTGATGTGGGAGAAGCCCTCTGGGAGGAATTGGGGGAGGGGTATTTCAGAGCCTGAGGGAGGCCAGGGGGCAAGCAGCTGTCTGTGTGCATCCCCTCCTGGGCACCTTCCAGAAGCCAGCAGCGGGGGAGAGGGGCTGCAATCAGGCGCCCTAGTGATTGTACGGCAGGGGCCTAGCGGCCTAAAGGATCCTTAAGTTCAGCACATGGCCTTGCCCACAGAATGTCCACGAAATATCCACACTGCCCCCTGCCCCTAGGAAATTTCTCATACTTTGGCACGCATCAGAATTGTCTGGAGGGCTTGTGGAAACAGATTGGTGGGCCCCTCCTCCAGAGTTTCTGATTCAATGGGTCCGGGGTGAGCCCTAGAGTTTCCATTTCTAATAAATTCCCAGATGATGCTCATGGTACTGGTCCAGGGACCACACTGGGAGAGCTGTTGCTCTAGAGAGTTCCTCTGCCTCTGGGGCTATGCTAAAGGGAGCAGGAGACTGACCATGGCGACACAGGCTCTCGAAATCCTCGCAGCAGTTTCCGAACTTTGGGCAGCGGGCGTTGCAGTGGCATAGGTGGTGCTTGTCGAAGGCTTCCAGGCAGCGGCCCCGGCAGGAGTTGGGTGCCAAGTACAAGTCTGAGAGGACAGAGGGGAGGTGTGTCCTGGGCTGACCTCTAGGGGTCGCTCCCCGCAGCGGCCAGGCCGTGCCCACTGCATGAACCCCCCCCCCCCCCCCCCCCCCCCCCCCCCCCCCCCCCAGCCTTGCTTTCCTGATGCTTCCTATTAAAGAACTCCAGGGAAGGAAAACAAACAAGCCTAATTGGTGCACACCCTTCACAGTCAGGAAGTCCTTTCTGGTGCCGAACTCTACTTTCTGGCCTGTTGTTTTTATAATCTTCCCTCTCTAAAAATAAAATCTCTTCCCCTTCCCTGTCGCTCTCAGCAGGCCTCGGACTCTTTCCTGCCTACCCCCCAGGTCACTGAGGCCCTGGGGCTTCCTCCCTCCCAGACCCCAAGAGTCCAGCGAGCTGCTCTCACCACCTCTAGGTGCTGGATTTGGGGTCCCATCTGGCTTTGGCCTGGGCCTGTGGCCGCTCACGTGGCTGCCCCCTCCTCCTCATCCTCTCACGTCCCTCATCTTTACCCCGAAGGCCCCCCTCTGGGGAGGCAGACTCACCGCTAGCCGGGGCCCCCTCCGTCTCTTCTTCCAGCTCCAGGAATGGCTCTGGCTCCTTGAGGTCCTCATCAGCTGTAGGTCAGAGAAGTAAAGTCACCAAACATCCCCGAGGGGCCCCTCCTCTTTATCACTGATTCTCAGTCCTCCCAGCTTCGGGGACAAGCATGTGCAGTGGAAGAAAATACAAAACAGGGGCGAGGGTACTTTGAACAAGTACCAGGTGAAGGAGGAGAAAATCTGAAAATGTTAAGACAGGGGGATTGAAAACTGTTCACAGAAGTGAAAGAACATCCCCAGGCGACAGCCCTCCTCACCATTCACCCTTCTGGTACCCAGTGTGCCCATCTGTAGAAAGGGGAGGTGGTGGGCAGGAGGTAGTCTCTTCTGGGCTGAAAACTCTGAGGTTGGGATGACTTTTATTTAATGTAGATTGATAGATGGATAGGCTTGAACTCTCCAAATGACAAGACCCTCACTTAGGAACATTGCTTACCTGTAATAACTCCCAGAGTCAAGGGTGAACTCCTCCCAGGCCTCATGGAATAAGAACTGTTTCCTGAGATACCAGATTCCCTTCTTCCTTCGCAATTACACTTGGCAATGGCCACAAAGGTTGCATTTGGGAATTAGGCGCATTCAGAAAAGCACATTCCTATTGCTGGCCCATTCCCTTGCCTGCAAGCTGAGTAACTGCAAACTTGGCTCTGGGCAGAGCAGGGTGGAGCGGGGCTGGGGAGGAAGACGAGGGAATGAATGTTGCTGGGGACTCTGAGCTTCTCTCTCATCACGGAGGGGAATAAATTCTACCCCTACACCACTCCCCCCAAAACCCAACACTATTACAAAGTGCTTCAGAATCTGTCAGCGCGGTCGTCAGATAGTATCTTGTTCTTACCATCAGAACCGTGGGGCAGGTTATTCATTCAGTCAAAAAACTTCTCCTGATCACTTGCTTTCTGCCAGGCTGTGTCTTTTGTTTGTTTTTCTTTTTTTTTCAGGCTGTGTTTTAAGTGCTGACAATCCACAGGGTTCTTAACTCAGCCACCGTTTATGCTAAATAGACCTTTGTGAGCTGATCTAGAGTCTCAACCACCATTGATAATATTTTTTCTGTGGGAAAAGGATTCTGAGTTGCACATCAGAGACAGTGATGAAATGGCTGCTAGGCTGAGTATCGTCTCTATCTTGAAATGCCAGCCTGATTGTCCAAGGTGCACAGGCCTCCCTGTGTCTGCTACATGGGGCACAAGGCAGCAGAAAGGGGTCGGCTCGTAGAAAACAAACTTATGGTTACCAAGGGGGAAGGGGAGAAGGGATAAATTGGGAGATTGGGATTGACATATACAACTACTATATATAAAATAGATAACTATCAATAATAAGAACCTCCTGTATAGCACAGGGAACTCTACTCAATACTCTGTAATGACCTATAGGGGAAGAGAATCTAAAAAAGAGTGGATGTATGTACATGTATAACTGATTCACTTTACTGTACAGCAGAAACCAACACAACATTGTAAATCAACTATACTCCAATAAAAAATAATTTTAAAAAAAAAGAAGGGGCGTTGGCTCTGATTCTGGCACTGAGTGAGCTCTGGGCCTGGGTTTCCCTGCCTGGGCCTGATGAGCAGAGCTGCTAGTATGTGTGGTGTTTTCTGTGTAAATTGACTCAGCATTCTTTTGGGTGGAAGTAGCTCTGAGGGCACATTGCTGGGCCAGCAGAAACCACTCTTGGGCAAATTAGGAAAAGGTACGCCTTTCTCAGCAGACACAGCTCTTCACCAAGACACATGGCTTAGCGAGAAGGATACAAATTCAACTTTGGTCCAACTCACCTTCTCAACCAGGGGCCCTTGTGCAGTGCACAACCTGCGCAACCACATGCAGTGGTCTTGCTGGCCATTACCTACCATGGGACACAGGGTTTGACGGTGAACTTAGCAAGGCTTCATGTCACAAAGCAGAAGACCATTTATCTGGGAGTCTAAAATATTGGAAGCATCCAAACAAGGGAATTATTCAAAGTGAGTTTTTCAAATTTTAAACTGTGTAGTTGGAGTAGCAGAAGAACAACTGGCTTTTGAGGGCGATGCATGTCCCATTTAACCTCTGGCCTGGGAATGACAGGTCAGAGATGTGCAACCACTCAGTCCACTCGCGATAGGAAGAGTGGTGTGAATTGTCAGTTACTGATGCCATGCGGTCTTCCTGGTGGCATGCAAGTTGGGAAAGTTCACTACCACTTCTTTACTTTTGAAAATGATAATTGGTAATGTAATACATGCTAAAATGATATTTTCATTCTTTTGCTTTTTTTGGGAATTACTTAAATTTTCCAGATATTATTAATCCTGGTAGTTCAGACAGATATTCCAGGTAAACGACATCTACTTTATTTTAAGTTGGGGTTTTATGTTGGAGACATCCTAGAATACCCAGGACAAGTGGTGGCCAAAGCCCTGACCCCCGCTCTGCTCTGGTTTGGGCCCTTTGAGCCCCCAGTCATCAGTCTGGAACCCTGCTCTGGACTGCTAGATGCCCCAGCCAGCAGCCCTTCAGGCAGGCTAGATATGGTCATGGCCTGGCCTGCCATGCCTCCTAGACCCTTCATCCCACAAGGAACCTCACCTGTACACAGGCGCTCATAGTCTTCACAGCAATCCCCGTGCCGGGGACACCGGCGGTCACACTGGCAAGCAGCATCCCGGTCAAATTTCTCATTACAGCGAGACGCGCATGACTCCATTTGGCCTACGGGCAGTAAAGGTCACAAACTTAGCTCTATGGGGATCCTACTCTCCTCATCAAGGCACCCTCTGCAGAAGGGTTCACAGACAGGGGCAGGAGCCCCACCTTGCAGGGAAGGTCATTGCTAGCTGCCGGGGAGAGGTACATGCACAGCCTCCCATACACAACATAAGCCTCGTCCCCACCACCCACCACCTGCCACCCACTGACTAATAATAGAGGCCAGGATCACAGAGTCAGGTGCCAATTGGGGCTAGACCTGTAACACAAATGAGTCAAGAAGCAGGAAGGCAGTAGAAAGAGGTGGGGACGGTGACAAACTTGGGAACGATGCCCTGCCTGAAATTGGCAGCCACTAGCAGCTCCAGCCAATTGTTGCCATGTTGAGATGCAGGCTCAGTGTTGCCAGAGCCTCCAGTTTTTCAAAAGAAGGCTTCATTTCTATGTGAACTTTTCCAACTTTAAAAAATTCAGACAGACCGAAGAAAGAGGTCTGTGGGCTGGGCATGGCCCAGAGGCCACCATTCACCTGTCACATAGAGGCTGGTGAGTCACCTTCGCTCCAGTGATCCCACCTGCCTTCTCCCCTCTGACCTCTGCCTCTCATCCTGTCCCTTTGATGTCTTCTGCTTCTCTGTTCTTCCCTCCCCTTCGTTTGGTCTCCTCTGCACCCTCTTCCCCCCCGGTGTCACGTCTTTCTGTCTCTTCTAGTTTGGATTAGTTTAGCTCAGGGTGGGGAATGAGGTGGGTTTGGGTGAGAATTGGACTTTGGAATAAGATCTGTTATGTAACCACAGACCACATCCCTTACTCCAGCCAAATGGCTTGCAGAAGCCAGCTTTTGGTCACAAGGGGCATAAGACAAGAAATTTTGAAAGAAATGGTACAAACCCACCAAGCACTCCTAAAAAAACAAGCCCGCCACAGCAAAGACAGTGGAGGGGGTAGCTGGCTGGGCGCTCTTTCCTTTCACTCTGGGCTTTAAGGGTGATAACAGAGCCTTTGTTTCCATTTGAGGTTCCTGAGGTTTGGATTTAGTGGGTACTGGGTTTAGGGTCAGGCTGTGGGTTATGGAGAATGTCAAGATCAGAGTCAGAGTCACAGTTAACACTGGAATTTGTATGAATGAAGAAACTGAAACCTAACTGGGGCCCGGGTTGGGGTGGGTTAGGTTTAGATTAAGAGCTAAAGTTAGGATTTGGGCTTGAGTTAATTATTGGTAAAATAACAATTTTGTGTTGCTGTTCGGGTAAGGAAAGGGAATAGGTTTAAAACTGCAGGGTTGAGGAATGTGTCAAGACTAGGAGAGGAGAAATAATCCCAATTTTGCCTTAGCTTAGATTTGGGGTTTGGTCCTGGTTGTGATTCCACACAGGTGTAGCATCGAAATTTAGCCTGGATTGGGGTGGAGGTGGAGAAGAGAGATATGGGTTTAGTCACTGGTTTGCGTTCTGGGATTAGGGTTTATACTGTGCTAATGAGGGCGGCGCAGCAGAGAGACAAAGAACCCGGACTCTGGCACCAAACTGCTCGAGGCCAGGATTCTGGTTCTTCTGCTTTCTAGCTATGTGACCTTGGGCAAGTCATTTGACCTTCTTTGCCTCAGTTTCCTTCTCTGTAAAAGTGTGATAATAATGGAGCCCATCTCATAGTCTATTCATAAGAATTAAGTGAGTTCACTTTTGTAAAGCACTTAGGACACCGCATGACACATAGTAGCAGCACTTAGATGTTAGATAAATAAACAGTCAGTATTTCATGCCCATCTTCCAGGTGGCAAGTGTCCAGAATGGCTGGAGCAGTCTTCCCTGTCTACCTACTCAATCTAGCTGACTCCCTCCCTGGGTTTCAACTGGGCCATTGCTTGGGCTGGGGTGTCAGCACATTTATGTTGCTGACAGTTTCTAGCTGACATTTCCGCTATGAGTCTGTGTTCTCTACATCAAAGAGGCGTCACGATGAACCCAGGTCCTGAGGCAACTTCACACGGTGTAAAGGGCTTCCAATGTGGCCAGAAAGGCAGATCCAGTGGATTGTCCCTAAAATAGACCAGGCCCAAGTCCACTTGTCCCTCCAAGCCTAGGGGAACTCCCCCTGAATCTTAAATGATGCTCCCTTGGTGCAACCCAAATGCAAAGACCTTAAGGAGAAGTTTTCAGCCCAGGAGGAAGGCTGTGTCAGCTGCCTGCTCAGTCAGCCTGGCAGTACACCCAGAATCCAAAGGGAGAGAATTCAGACAAATCAGGGCAATGCTCTTAATGGGCCAGATCAGCAGAGTCCAAGGAAGGAATTCACCCCATTCCAGCAGCTGGCACCAGTCGAGAAGGGCTTCAAGTCAATAGTCAGCTCTGTAGAGCTCAAGAGGACACCGCCCCACTGGCCCTGGCTGAGTGGACTTTTTCATCTCTGTTCAAGAACTTTGTCCCCAGTAGGAACCCCAGGCCAGGGATCCTTCACACTTCCCTGTACACCTCACCATGTGCTTCAAGAGGACCTTGGGACTTGAGGGGGGAGGTTAGGAGTGGGAGGGACTTCTCCTCATAGGTACCTCCCCGGGCTGCTCTGGGGACACTCAGGTAAGTGTCAGAGCGTCACCCTGACTACTCACTCCAGCGATCCCACCCGGTACCTCCTGTTCATACAAACACTCTGTGTGCGCCTCGCTCACTAGCCAGGCGCCTGAATCACCGCTCCAGTAATCCTCTACCCCATCTCTCTGACTCTCTTTCTGCCTTACTCCATTTTGGCCTTTCTTCTCCTGGACAGAGGTACCCTCTCCATTCCCCGGGAAGAGCTTGTCACCAGCCCCCATCCCTACACGAAATGCTAAATTTCTCCGTACACTCCAACACTTCAGTATGCCTCAACACCCAGTCCCTAACCACACTGCCCACCAAGAAACTTGGTCCCAAACCTGGGTGTCCCTATATGCCAGCCCTCAGCCCCTCTGATGGTTGGGGACTCCTACATCTGTGCTTCTCTGGGGGTCTCAGGGGCTGTTTCCGTGGACACCTAGCCAACCAAGTAGACACTTCCAGGACCAGATTCCTGCTTCAATTCACTTGAAACAACCAGGGACCTAAGATTGGCTCCCATGCTATTCATACTCTTGCATCTAAGTTCTGAGATGTTGGCATAGGACAGACAAGAACCGAGCCTCTTCCTCCCACTTTAGGAAAGAAGGAGGCATCACCCACTGGACCCTCTCTTCCCCATCAGTCCCACAGCAGGATCAGACCACCAGCCCCAGGGGCAAGGGCTCCATCTGCCCTTCTGAAGCCACCTTGGCCTCTGCCCTCAGGGATGTCCCCCAAGGATCAAATGTCTCCAGTTGCTCTCCTCTCCTGAGACTGGAATGCCTCAACCCCACACCACTCCTTCACAGTAAGCTAGAGGCTCTCGCACCCTCCCTCACTCCCTACCGAGAGCTCTGCACCACCTCGGGCCCAGCTCTCTGCCATGTGTGCTGGAGAGGGGGTACACGATCCCATCCAGCGTGGGAGGCCTGGGAATGGCTTTCCCCTCCAAACGTTTTCCATTTAGGAATCCTGTTAGGGGTCTCCTTATCCACAATCTGACTGGAAATGATTCCAAGAGTAAATTTTATGTTTATATAAATTATTTTATATAAATAAATACTTGTTATATTACTAGAATTAATATGTTCTAAATATACTTATAAATATTATAAATGATTTTATATGTATTTATCTTTATAATGATAATCAAAGACCCAATTTATTGAGATCTCACTCCATGTAGGGGGCTTCTTGTACATTATCTTATTTCACCCTTACGACAGTCCTATGTAGGAAAAACCTGAGTGGGATTCTTTCTCCTTGGGCAGAGGATTCCCCCCACATCCCTCAGCCCAGCCCCCTCCCTCGGCACTCTCCCTACTCACCCAGCAACCACTAATGACCACATCAGCGTCCGCTCTGCAGCTGCTCAACAGGGAAGTGTTGCCATCCTTAACCACGGGTCCTATCCCTGCATCGCTAGTACCTGGGGGCCAGGACCCTTCTCTGCTTTAGGTCCTCTAACACGGGACAAGACTGATTCCTCTGACCACGTGACCTGCCTCCTGGTCAGGGGCTCTTCCAGTTTCCCCGGACCCTGCCCTCCTCCTAAGCCTTTACCCAGGGAAATGTCCCACGCAGACAACTCACCTACCCCCAGGTAGCAGAGGAAGTGACCAAGGGCGACCAGGCCACTCAAAGCCAGTCGGCCACAGCCCAGCTTTACGCTATAGTGGCCCCAGAAAAAAAAACAAAACCTTGGTGAGATCAAAAGTCAGGTTGGACTAAGGGATGCTTGGGGCTCATCTTCCAAGTCGTCAAGAAGGAGCTTCCGTGACATCGGCCCACCAGCTCTGCAGCTCCCTTCACAAAACCCAATCCACTCCAGAGGCAACTCCTGCCTCAGACCAGGCTTGGTCTAAGGTGTCCGTGGCTTTAGGACAGAGCTGGCTCTCTCTCTTCTCACTACCCTCACACTCTCCCAAGTACCCCAACTCTTGGCAGGACTCCTGTCATCCCCACCAGTAGTGACTTACCAGCCCAGGCCAGGCCGCCGAGCACGGCCACTATCAGGGGAACACAGGCCTTCATGGTGTCCAGTTGGAGGCCAAAAGGGGATTGGCTGTTGGACTTTCACTAAAGTCAACGTGAATATCACAGCTCCCAAATGAGCCTTGTTGCCCAGGCTGATCCTTTTAAAGACATCAGAACTTGTGGATCTGGTGCTTCCAGATCCTTCCAGGTGGAAGGAGGTGGAGAGTGGGTAAGCCCAACAGCTGTTTGAAGCCAGAGGCAAGGGAACTAAGCAGGCAGGCAATGCCAGGTGTTTAGAACAAGGAGTGCTAGCTCTTTGTAGCTAGAAAATAGGTCATGCAAGCAGGCACAGCAACTTGGGTCTAGTGGGGGGGAGAGCACTCATGAACTCATCTTTGGGTGATGCCTTTCAAACATCCACCTACTTGCAAGCCAGGGTCTTGACCTTCCAAGGGCCTCAACTGGCTCCATATTTGAACTCCAGGTGCTCAGCATGAGGAACATAGTAAGAGGGTCATTATGTGTTAGACAAACAGGAAGTGCTTCAACAAGCTTTGGGGTACCAGAAGGAGCGATCTAGGAGGCATAGGTCAGAAACAAGTGCTGTTCTTACTACATCAAGCCACACGTAGCCACATCACCCTTGAAATGTCACGCAAATGGGCCTTTGCCTCTTACTGAGTCAGCATCTCAGGTTTTACCTCTTTCAGGTTCTCCCAGGCTCCAGGTTTATGAGGCCTCTTAAAGGCAGCCAAAGGACCATCATTTCTCTCCTCCCTTCAGCCCTCTTACACTCCTCTCCCCCAGGGACCCCTCCCCAGAGAGAGACAAGGCTCTCAGGGCTCCCATCTTCCCAGGTCTGGGAGCAGAGATGCAGCAACGTAGGGCTGCCAAGTTTTCCCTCCTAATAAAGGTAAAATGTTCTAAGTAAAATGCCCTTTCCAGAAAGAGCACTGCATGGAGATTCTCAGGCCTCTCAGAAAGGAAGTCTCATAGAAAAAGGCAAAGCTGATGAACAACTGAGACCACGCTGCAGTAATTTTTCCTGGGGTGGAGTCGGGGTGAGCACATCCTCCGTCCTTCTTTAACAGTGGAACTTTCTTCCTCTCTCCCGTCTTCAGTTTTCCCATCTTTGAAACGATGGGGTTGGAGCTAATGATCCCTTCCAAGTTCTCAGATTTTAATTTTCAGGCCCCCCAGGGTGCACAGCTGCAAGGTGGGGCAGTCCCCACCTTGCAAGGGACTCACACCACCAGCACAATTGCCTCACCATTTTCTCCAGGAAGGAAGCCCGCTTAAAGGGAGTAGGAGCCCTTTGTTTGCATAAGTGTCATTTGCACAACCGGAAAGCGGAGGTTGAGCCACTGCCAGCCAGGATCCTCACCCTCCCTGGACTTGGAGCACGGGGACATATCCTGGACCCCAGGTAGTTTAGGGAATAAAGGAGAGTGTCCCTGGCCGGGCAGGAAACAATGGTGCCTCAGAGTTTGGGATTGGAAGGTCTGTCCCTTCCAGGGTGGGACCCTGGGTGAGGCCAAACCTATCAGGGTGGGAGTGGGGTCTGGCCAGGGTTGCCCTGGTGTCCAGCTGAACCGACTGTGGGATGGAGTTTCAAGGGTGGGAGCGCTTCCCTCCATCAGGGGAGTTTTAGGTCAGGAGCAAGGCTGGGAGCTGGGGAGACAGTTGAAACTGACCCCACAGAGCCAGATGGGCCATCTGAGGACCGAAGTGTCCTGGATGGGGTCCTCCAACAAGAACCAGAAGGTTGACCTTCACCATGACCGCCAGCACTGACTGAACACGTACCACGTGTCACCCACGAAGAGCTTCCTACATGCTATCCCGTCCACGCTCACTGCAACCCTTTATAGGTACTATCGTTACCCTCATTTTACAGGTGAGGAAACTGAGACACAGAAAGGTTGGGAGATGTGCCTCAAACAACAACCTTCAAAACACATCAACAACCACTTAATTATGTCTGGGTTGCTATGCAAAGTGGTCTGGAATCAGATGCATCGGAATTAAAGGGACCTCCGTGGTCACCTGGTTCCACTTCTCATATGATGTTGCAATGCCCTAAACAACACTACATCGTCACTCTGCCTCCACGGGAGGGCCTCTGGTGTTGAGGGATCACGGGGCTGCTTATCCCCCCTTCCCAGATCAGATTCCCAAACCCCAAACCCCGAGACATGCTGACATGGACAAAAGTCGACAGGACAGTAGGAAAAATCCATTTGGCCAATATAGGAGCACACATCCACACATTCATGCAAAGATGCCTCATAAACTTCGATGCGCATACGTATGTACACAGAGACAGACACAGTGAATTGTATTTCAGACAGCTTTCTTTTCCTGGGCAGACAATGCCGTTGCTCCTTTTTCCAAGTTCTCCCCCAGTTAGGTCCCCCTGTCAGCTTTCCACCCTTGATGGAAAGCTCTACTTCCCAAGGAGCCACCGTGGGGGCCAGCCAGCAAGGTGGGAATCCCAGGAGGCTGGGGCCCTGAGACCCGGGTGGGGAGAAATTGGCAACAGGTGCTTGTGGGTAGTATACCCACAATGAGGACACCAACGGAGGTGGCTGCTCCACATGAGGAAGGGAGGGGAGGCTGCAGCTATGGCCTCTGCCAAGGTTTGGAGGGTGGAGAGGGTGCAGCTGCCTGGGCAAGAATCTAGGAGGCTGTCAGCCGTCAGTGGTGTGAGGAGTGGGGATTCCAGCAGCAAATATTTACTGGTGCTCACTTTGTGACTGGTGCTCTGCTGACACTGGACTGGCAGTGTTCAGGCTGGGCTAGAAAACTGTTCTTGGAACCCACTGGTTTCTGGTGGGATAGAGGACAGAGAAGCCCCAGCGTTAGGCTGCTGTTTGAAGTAGATCACACTCATCTCTGGGCTTCCAAGAGGGTCAGGGGTCTGTGAGGACCAACAGGCTATGGGAGAGACTGACCCAGGGGGCTACTAAAGGAGACGTATGCCCAGACCAGCCTAGACCACCACGCTTGTCCTCTCTGAAACCAAGGCCAAGTCACTTCTGCACACGACCAGAGACTGGAAGGGCCCTGCAGCTGGTCCAGCACAGGCGAGGCCTGGAGTCACTTACCAAGGGGACCCTGGCTGACCTGGGAGTGCCCCAGGATGGCAGCCCGCATCTGATCACTTGTGAGCCACGTCAATCTGTAGTCTCCTCTTATTGAGTGTGTCTTAGCATGGCTCCATGTGTGGTTTTCTCCCACACTGGTTTGTGTGCTGTGTACCACGATTTGGTTCCCAAGCTTTGTTTTTTTTTTAAGTTTGTGGGCATCCTTGACATTCAGCATCACACTCACCGCCAACCCCAGGCATGTTAGTCAGACGTGCCGCCTGCCCCGCTCATCACAGTGTGCTATGAGGTACCCAGGTGGTACTTCTGGTTGTGCCGGCCATGCCCCATGCTGGCCCTCTGCCTGAAGTGCCCTCCCCATACACATCAGCTGTCCGTCTCCTACTCATCCTCCAGGCCCAGAGCAAACCCACCCTTCCACAAAGCCTAACTTCCTCCTCTGCTCCTGCCTATGGACTCAGCTCTTGATATTTGTCATGTGTGCCTTTGAAACACATCACAGCCGCCTCTCATAGACAGTGCTGCCAACGAAGTGTCGGTTAACCCCTGCACTGCCGGTTAACTTTTCATCCACACAGGTTGTTTCTTCAGCTGGCCTCTGAAATTCCTTGAGATAGGAACCCTGCCTCCTGGGTCCCCTCTACTGCTTTGTATTGCCCATGCGATGTGTGTTAGATAACTGTCAACTTCTGCCTGGGACCAGCAATGAATCAGTGAATGAGTGAGTGACTGAATGAGCAAACTGAGCCTTTGAGCCTCACTTGTGATAAAGGCCCAAGGGAAGATGACTAGCAAAATGGAGAGAACAGATGGCTCCCTCCAGGAGCTCTGGAGGCTCCTGGGTTGGTACTGGGGGCGGGGGGAGAGGGCTTATGGGCAGTGGCTGGAAGTGGGTGCAGGGATTCATTTTGTAGTTGTATTTTCATAGCAAACACATTCAGGAGTAATGGAAACTTTGGCGGGGGTGGGGGGGGACCCAAAGCCCCAAACCACCTGTTGGCAACACCACCGCCAAGGGGCAGCCAGTGCAGGGATCGGCTAGAACTCAGAATGCCAGCAGCTTCTGAATCCACGGTGTAAAGATCACTCAGCTTTACCCTGCTTTTTAGGATCCCAGATAACCAGCTGCCTGCGCTTTTTGCCAGCTGTGTTCATGTTTGTTTTATACCGCCTGCTAGTGATTGTAAAATAAAACTTCTGTTTCATGTCCTCAAACCCCAGTGGCTTTGGAGAGGGTCTGGAGGCACAGATGGGAAAAAGAGAGGTGGCTGAGACAGGCAGACAGTGATAAGGAGGCTCGGAGAGACAGCGGGGGAGTGAGCAAGGGCAAGGGGCGGAGGCCGATCAGGAACGAGGCAGGCGTGAGGCACCTCGCACACCTCTCACCCCAGGTGTTTGGGCACAGCCGGCTGCTCTGTCCTCACAAAGGCGATGACAGGACTGGCAGGGGCAGTTCCCGACCCACGGTCTGGAGATCTACAATCTGTCAAAATTACCATAATTACTGTGCCGAGGCAGTTGGATGATGGACAACTTCCCCCTTCCTCATGCATCTGAGCATGCGCTCCGCTATGCAAAGCGAAGTGGATGCAAGGGTGAGTTGCTCAGCGTTTTACAGGACGACGGAACGGAGCGAACTGAAAGCTTGGATTAGGGCCAGCAGAACACCATGCTGAGACCACTGGTTCTAAGCCAGACTGCCTGGGATTGAATCCCAGCTCTGCCGCTCACCTGCTGTTCAACCCTAGGCAAGTTCCCTGACCTCTCTGTGCCTTGGTGTCCCCTGTAACTATAGAGCGAATAAGAATACCTTACAGGGCAGTTGTGGTGACTTGAATGAGTCAAGACCTGCAAAGCCTTAACACAGTATCGGGCACGTAACAAGACCGGATAAGTGTGTGTTTAAAAAAAAAAATAAGGTCACATAAGATCTAATTTACATGGGATGGTTAGGGAAGGCCTCCCTGAAAAAATTACCTTTAAAACAGAGACATGAGAAAGTGGCAATCTTTCTTTTTCTTTCTTTTCGTTTTTGCCACGCTGCGAGGCTTCTGGGATCTTAGTTCCC